TATGAATAAATAAAATTGTGTTGTTTTCAGCAACTAAGTTTATGGTAAAGTGCTATGGCAGCAACAGCAAATTAATACATTACCAAAATCTACTATTTTGAATTTCAATTTTCTAGGGTTTTGAACCAATAAACAACATCATGATAATTAGGGGGGAAAATTAAAGTTATTAACAAGCTCATTCAATTTGGATCAATAATCAATGTCTATGAAAGCAGCAGTCAAGGATTCAAACACTGTATTATTGCATATAATGCACTGGGCAAATACGTTGCAATTAACTTTTTAAAGTGTCAAAAGGCAAAGGTGTCATTTTGATGCTAAGGTTTGTCTGACCAACGCCACAGTCTTTTCAGTTGCTTCATAAAGATGCGAAACTACAGAATAAAAAAAGAAGACAGCAATAGAGTTGATGCTTTTAAATTATGCTGATGGTGAAGAATATTGAAATAAACTATGAACTTCCAAAAGAATGAGCAGATCAGTCTTGGGAGAAACATAAGAATGCTACTTAGAATTTAGGATGACGAGTCTTTGTCTTGCTTACTTTGGACACATTATCAAGACTGACCAATTGCTAAAAAAAGGATACCATGATTAGGAACACAAAGAAACAGCAAAAAGGAGTGAAGCCATCAATAAGATGTTGTTAGGAGCCCTGGAGTTGGTTCTAACTCCAAAATGAAACATTACCATGTTCCTACAATCCCCACTAACATTGCCATGCAGCTCCTGTATCAGTCCATTTCATTGAGGGTCTTATTCATTTTCATTAAACCTCTACTTTCCCAAGCATAATGTCCTTCTCCAGGGACTGCTCACTCCTTAAAGCATATACAAATTGTATGAGACTGTGTCTCAACATACTTACTTCTTGCAGAGGGGAAAGAGGGAGGTAAGGAGGCAAAGTACAGAGTTAGGGCTAGACTTATGGCTACATCTAGGGTTTCATGTAGTGTTAGGGTTATGGTTAGTCCTAGGGTTATGGAGGAAGACTCATTAATAACCTGTGATATGTAGATGATATAACCTTGCTTGCTGAAAGCAAAGAGGACTTAAAATACTTACTGATGATGATCAAATAACACTACCTTTGGTATGGATTGCACCACAATGTAAAGAACACAAAAATTCTAACCACTGGACCAATATATAACAACATGATAAATGGAAAAAATATTGCAGTTGTCAAAGACTTCATTTTTCTTGGATCCACCATCAACACTCATGGAAGCAAGAGTCAAGAAATCAAATGACATATTGCATTAGACAAATTTGCTGCACAAGACCTCTTTAAAGTTGAAGAACAAGGATTTCAGTTTGAAGACTAAATTATGCCTGACCCAAGCCATGGTATTTTCAATAGCCTCACATGCATATGAAAGTTGGACAAAGAATAAGAAAGACCATGGAGGAATTGATGTATTTGAGTTATGGTGTTGAAGAATAATTTTAAAGGTACCATGGACTGCCAGAAGAACAAAGAAATCTGTGTTGGAAAAAGTACAACCAGATTGTTCCTAAAAAGTCAAGATGATCAGACTTGGTCTCTCATACTTTAGACATATTATCAGGAGGGACCAGTCACTGGAGAAATGTTTGGTAAAGTAGGCAATCAGTGAAAAAGAGGGAGACACCCATAGAAATGGATTTTTGTGCATCCCATTTCACTTTTTATTTCTTCCAATTTTCCTAGATTCAAACTTCATACATTCCATATTCAAATTACCAATAGGTGTTTGAAGCTGCTTCTTCTCATTTTGAGTCATGTCACATTAGCCAAAGAATGAATAACCCAAAAGCTTGAATTCATCCATGTCATTAAGGTTGACTCTACTTTGAGGAAGATCTTCCCCAGTCATATTTTGAATGTTTCCCAACCTTAGAGGCTCATCTTCTTGCATTATATCAAGCAATGTTCTACAGCTATCCATAAGATTTTCACTGGCCAATTTGTTTTAGAAGTAGATCACCCTTTGCCTAGTGTGTATTAACCTGGAAGCTCTGCTGAAACCTGTCTATCATGGGTGATCATTCTGGTATTTGAAATACTAGTGACACAGCTTTCAACATCAAAACAATACACAAGCCACAAAAGTATAACAAATTGACAGACTAGAATTAACACAAAAGTGACAATAATAGATCAACCATA